ACTAGGTAAGTCCAACTTCGACCAAGAGGTCAATCGATGGATTCAACTCGGCTGGGCAGCGTTCGAGAAACAACGAAACATCTTCTCGTCAGACATACCTCAAAACCTTAAAACGAAATTGTACAACCAGTGCGTGTTGCCAGTGATGACTTACGGATCTGAGACGTGGTCCTTCACTGCTGGCCGTATGAGGAAGCTCAAGGTCGCTCAGCGAGCTATGGAGAGGGCTATGCTCGAGGTTTCTCTGCGTGATAAACTTAGAAATGAGTATATCCGCAGTAGAACCAGAGTAACCGACATAGCCCAACAGATTAGTAAGCTGAAGTGGCAGTGGGCCGGCCATATAGCTCGAAGAAACGACAACCGATGGGGAAGAAAGGTTCTTGAGTGGCAGCCTCGGACCGGTAGGCGAAGTGTAGGGTGACCCCCCACGAGATGGAGAGACGACCTGGTAAGACATGCAGGAAGTCGATGGATGCAGATGGCTCAGGACCGTGCTTTGTGGCATTGCTTGGGGCAGGCCTATGTTCAGCAGTGGACTTATGAAAGGCTGTAATGATGATGATGATGATTTGCCATAGCTGCCACGCTTGGCAGGCGGGTTGGCACGCGCAGTTTATTTATTGTTTAGTTGTTATTAGAAAGACATTGGAGATGGACACTCCTGATTTTTTTATCTGTGTCGTCTCTTACGACCCCCAACGGGACGATATGGAGTAGTGGTATTTTTTTTCTTATAAGTACTTGTACCTAGTACTTGATTACAATCCCACCCGATTTTTAGTAGTAAATAAGCTCTAGATTATAAATCGCATTAACTTAACATATTAAAAGCCCATTTACTCTTGCCTTAAAGACACTTGGAACCGTGTTTTGGCGGTGTAAGAATATCCACTAGCCCATTCTATCCACCGCACTGTCACCCAATACTTGTTAGCTGACTTAAAGTGCCTTAATAAATAAATAGATATATATTATTTATAAGATAGGGTGACAAACGAGCACACAGTCCACCTGATGATAAGTGGTTGCTGTGACCCATAGACATTTATATCTATCCTCAATAAAGAATCAAAATGCAGATGCGTTGTCACCCGTGAGGACTAAGATGGAATGCCTCTTTTCCAGTAAAAACGATCTCCGGTTCTCTACACTCACCATACGAAACACAGCAGCGTTATGCTGCTATTTTACGCTGGTATTCTGTGAGAGCGTGGTCCTTCCCCGGTCGAGCCGGCCCATTCGTACTACAACTATACCACCACTATAGCTGCAGCATGGCTCTACCACCTATGAATTATTATTTTTAATGTCGCAGTATTTTTTTTTAATATCTCAGACATGAAGGTTTGCTCACGGTGGTTTCTTTTCGTAATTTACAATTTCATTGTTACCGGCACGGCGAAGATTGACATAGTTACTTGTGGTAACTATAGCATTGATATAGTTACCCGCGGTCTGTAAAGTTTCCAGCGAGCCCTTAGCCCCTGAGACTATGGTAGGACTACGCTGGCACAGAACACCATTGTCAAGTACCTATATAAGTATAATACTTATGAGTTTTGTTTGTTAAGTGACGACAATAGAAGACCTTCTTTCCCGATAACAAAACATTTCATCTTAGTCTTTGTTTAACGCCTGCATATTTATAATAGCAATTCATCAAATCACTTATTTTGCTTTCATATCTATTCAATGAGGGCTAATAATTTTCTGCTCACCAGATGTCGCTAGTTGACACCAAGGTAAAGATGTTTGTTATACTCAATGTCATTTACTTGAGAAGTTAGTTTTAAATAAAATTTTATTATTTTCTAGAGTATTATATTAATACACAAAACAATTCCTCAGTGGTTTGCTCTTTAATTTTTTTCACAATTTTAAATTTTTTTTATTTTTTCCTTCGTTTATGTTTTTTTAAAATCTAATTAACATAAAATATAGCTAATAATACAGAAATAAACATTAACCTTTCTATTTTCCGAACTAATTAACAACCCCGCTATGAAATCTGCCAAATATTATACCTCGCTTTTAAGTGGCGTCGCCCTGGTGGCAGAAAACATAGTGGATGCTCTCGTTTCAGTGCCAGCTTGCAGTATCTATGAGAGAATTCATTGCCCGATTTCATCCATTAGATGTCATAAGACTAGAAAGAGGGAAACTGAACCAGAAAATTTCAAAGCGTGTGGAAACCACCCTTACAGTCGTTTAGGTAGAGAAGAATTCCTACCACCTATCAAATACCATTCTATCAAAAGGTTTAAATTATGAAGCAAAAATTGTTTAGTATTTTACGTGGTAGAGCGATGCTACAGCTATATTAGTAGTATAGTTGTAGCACGAATCGTTCGGCTCGACCGGGGAAGTACCACGCTCTCACAGAACACCAGCGTAAAATAGCACCTGAACACTGGTGTGTTTCGTATGGTGAGTGTAGAGAACCGGAGACTCTTTTATTGGAAAAAAGGCATTCTATCTTAGTCTTCACGGCTGAAAACGCATCTGCATTTTGATTTGTAATAGAGGATAGATGTAGATGTCTATGGGCCACAGCAACCACTTACCATCAGGTGGACTGTATGCTCATTTGTCAAAAAAGGGGTTATTAATTATTATACTACTAAAGAGTACATGATTGATAATAACCCCTGGGAATGAGGTGATCGCTACCATGCTGTTTCTAAATGTTTTCATAAAAATTGTATAAAATATTATATTGTAAATTTTTTTTTAAAGTCCCGCTACGTTTATTGCTAGTTCTTCCCAGGACAGAGGTTTTTTTTTGCGAACCAGTGGTAAAAGTAAAATATGACATTCAATAAGTATTATGTACTGTAATCTATGTTGAATAAAAATGATTCTATTCTACTCTATTATAAAATAGTAACTAGTAATACTAAGTACTATTATTAAAAACATGGTGATAACTAATATCATTGATTTCTGACTCTATATGAAAGATGGGGTAAAGTATAAAAAAAGTATGATTATAAGGTGTCACAGGGGGGATATTTGCCATATTTGCTCCTGTAGGCAGGCGGGTTGCCAACCGCAGTATTTTTATAGTTGTTATCAACAAGAGGTCGCTGCCCATCTCCTCCCTTTGTCGCCTCTTACAATAGCCAGGAGATATGTGGTAGTAGATTTTCGCATACCGCCCACTACACAAATCAATAATTTATAAATTTTTATAAACTTTATTAAAGTATATATAATAGTATACAAAATATTTCACACTGCGGTACAAAATATTGCTGAAATTTTTGTTTGGGATGACAACATAAAAAAACAATTATTGTGTTATTAATGTATTTATTTTACATATTTTAAACATTAGGGATTATAAATATGTACATTTTTTTAATGTTTACTAAGGTTTATATGGTAAAAGTTAATATTATTAGGCGTATTTGTATAAAATATCTTAGTTGTATTATTTTCATATCTCTATATAAAAAACTGGCTGGACCGATTTCGATGAAGTTTTGTGTGTGTGATTAAGTTGATTCGAGAATGGTTTAGATTGACAATTGAACCCAGTAGGTTGGCGCTGTTTTTGAGATTCAGTACATTATCTTTGCAGCAAAGCCGAGGTGGGTCACCAGTTTTTATATATAGGGTTATTTTGCAATAACCGGCCAAATTTCCAGAGAAGGTTCAGAATAAGTAATGCCTATATTGGTGGTAAATGGTTGTAGAAAGAAAATTAAAAAAAGATTCTTTTAATTTTAAAATGCTTGGTAACGCATTATTTTAACTGATTTTTCTGCGCACGCACGAAAATGGATATTAAAATGTTCAATTTAATCGAGAATCGACTATATTGCGCTCGTTTGAAATCGAATCGAAAATCTGTCTTATTCTTTTAAGTAAGTAGTTTGAAGTTTGAACTGTCAAGTCAAAATCCAAAATGAAAAGTTGGAAGATAACGTTCAGAAACGAGAATTTCACTTATATTTTCTTTATGGTAATCGATTTATTGCCATTAAGAATACACTACAATCGAATTTCTAACTCACTGCTTATTTTATTGTTTTATCGAAATCTAGATTGCAAAAAGAGCTACTTTTTTGTATTTTACTCAAGAGAAATATGGTCAATTTTTTAAAGTATTAACCAATTAGTTAACTTCAGGCCCAAAAATCCCATTCTCCTTTGGCTATTCTTTGAAAAATAACTCTGTATAATACCGGTGTGCGTGTGATTGTTATGCTTCTCCTCTTAAACGGTTTAGATGAAATTTTTATGGGATACTTATCTTCTGATTATGAAGTTGGCTTAAAATATCCACACTGATGACAGAAAGCAGCATTAAAGATGCAAAACATCTGGTACTGTGGCCGCAAGTCAAAGTGCGGCAAGACAAATCTCCCTTCAATGGAAGAGGCCACTGTCCAGATGTGGCCTCTGGGTAGACTAAGTAATCCAGTTCTTATCACTAGGTCTTAACCTTATGACTTTAAAATAATAAAGAAGCTTTCAGACTGCCTAATTGGTCTAGTGGTCGTAACAGCGAATGCAGATCATGAGATCCTGAGTTTGAATCCAGGGTAAGAAGTTCTCAGTAGCAGCACGGAGTCAGAAAGCTGGCAATGTTTCACACCCGTGACTCGGAAAGCAGGTAAAGCCATTGGTCCTGCGCTTGATCTCTCCACGGTCGTGGTGGATTACCGTCCCATCGGACTATGAGAGTGAGGGAATAGAGAGTGCACCTGTGCTTGCGCATACACTCGGGCACTATAATCCTGTCTAACGTCCCGTTGTGTCTGGCCGCCATACCCAAAATTTTGTCTGGAGGATATTCTTATTGTTAAAGAAGCTATCATCGCTTTTAATCCCTTGGATGGAATGCTTGAATGCCTGTAATTATTTCCCTTAAAATTATTTATACTACAATAAAAATCACATGAAAAAATGAGTTCTTCTCGGAAACGCGGCAAAATTTGCTGCTGCTTTCACCAAGTCCTCTGGTACCCTGTTTTTGTTCCGGGACGTGATCAGAACGTCTCTGAGTCGAACCACTGCCACATTTTTGGCTTTGTGTAGTCCAGCTCGTACTCCTCGCATTTCTGACCGGTTATCCTGAGAAACGACAGGAAGAATTAAAACGGACACAAGCTGTAATTCTGCTATATGGTTATTGTAGAGAACGGAAGAAGAGTATATTTTTACTGGTAAGGGATTTTTCATCTTAGTCCTCAGGGATATAAACGATTGTCAACATGTTAGCTTCACGCTCAGTCTTAGAGTAGCCAACCTTTCAGTATTCAAGCGAGTGTGCGCAGGAATTACATGTTTTAATTCCTCCCTCTCCTTTCCACCATCGAACAACCAGATGATCGGCGGTTCTCCACCTTTATTGCCGATATTCCACACATTCGAGGGAAGAAGAGAGGAATATTTTGCCGGCGTCCGTCTTTCTGTCCGATTACAATCTGTCATTGGTGCTGCATCCATAATATAGCTGCAGCGTGGCTCTGCCACGTAGGATAGCAATCTTACTCCATAAGTCAATCTTCTTTAAGAAGATTGATGATAGCAGTTCTACGTTTAGCAGGTCCTTTCCATCTAGGTATATTTTGATAACATATCCGACATAGATCTATCGTTATCTACCGGTAATGAGACCTGCCTGCCTAATCACACGTAGACTCGACGACTTCCGGTATCCCGAATAATCCAGTTTCCGAAAAGAATTTAGTACGATGTAGTAATTTTGCAATGGCTTAGCAATGAGTTGCTGCGCTGGGGGGCGCGGGTTCGAATCCCGCACGGAACAAGTATTTGTATGGCCTACAAATGATTGTTCCGGGTCTGGATGTTTGTCTTTGGGAAATTTGTGTTTGTAAACTGCCTCCACGATACAAGAGAAAATCGTAGTGTGGTTTTTTTCACGTTTTTATTCAAAAGAAAAAAAAGAAAAAGAAAAGTACCATAGACCACATACATACCCCTTGGGAAATTGTACATAAGACCGAAGGTACAATCTGCCAGATTGCCTTGCGTATGTGGACTATGAGAAAGCCTTTGATTCCGTCGAAATTAGGGCGGTGCAGAATCGCTAGAGGGCCTAAGTATAGTACTTAGGCCCTCTAGCTCAATAATCTCAATAGTGTCTCCCAACTGGTAGGTCTTCGTTAGGTTAGGTTGGTTCATCTTAATGAACATGGACAAAACAAAGTTCATGTGTAACGTCTATGTCACACCTATGCCGGTATTTGTTGGGAGCACTATGCTTAAAGTCATTGACGAGTATGTTTACCTGGGACAAATAGTCCGACTAGGTAAGTCCAACTTCGACCGAGAGGTCAATCGACGGATTCAACTCGGCTGGGCAGCGTTTGGGAGATTACGACACATCTTCTCCAGTGCCAGTGCGTGTTGGCAGTGATCTGAAACGTGGTCCTTAACTGCTGACTGTATGAGGTAGCTCAAGGTCGCTCAGCGAGCTATGAAGTGGACTGTGCTCGGGGTTTATCTACGTGATAGACTTAAAAATGAAGGCACCCGCAGTAGAACCGAGTAGCCGACATAGCCTAACGGATTAGTAAGCTGAAGTGGCAATGGGCCGGCCATATAGCACGAAGAACCGACAACCGATGGGGAAGAAGGTTTTCAGCTGCGCAATAGACATGTAGAAAGTCGATGGCTGCATGTGGCTCAGGCCCGCGCTTTTGGGCATTCATTGGTGGAGGCATATGCTCAGCAGTGGACTTGTGAAGGGCTGTAGTTAATGCATGATAAAAGGTCTTACCTGGTACGCCTCAAACAGCGGACTATAGGATGTGCTTTCCGGAAGCATTGCGGCCCCAGCACGTTGAAGTACGTGAGCCCGATCTGTGCTGACACTAGGGAGTTTGTCTTCCGAAGACAGTCCCGGAATTTCAAGTCGCAGCTGCAGTGGGATCTAGAACAGGAAAATTAGGGACATTTGCAAAACGGTAACAATCTGTATTAATCTACAAAAGAACTATTTGTAAATCCAATTGTGCATGTCTTAAGTGCATTAAAAAATTGCGTATAACATGGTAGGTAATTTTTTTAAAGTTATTTAAATACACACAAGTTTTCACTAATAACATTATTACTATACTTCCAATTTTCCAATAATTTAATGTCAAACTACAATTAAAAAAGTTTGGAAAATCCAAAAGTGCACCACTCATAATGCTCATAATTATGGTTGTAAAAAAATTTAAAAAAAATTAAATTTTAGTTCTATTCGTTAAAGTTTTAGTAGCGGTTACCGAAGTACACCTTCAAATCACTCCGTCAAGTCCGGAGGTAAAGTATATTCCTAACTAACAAAACGAGCCCAAAATCGGCACATCTAGTTCTCCTCGTCGAAAATTTTAAGTAAGAGTCATCAAAGTCCACCTTCAAGTCACTCTATTAAGTCCGGAGGTAAGGTCTCATCATAACTAACAAAACGAGCCCAAAATCGGCACACCTATTACTACTCGTCGAGGAGTTGCAGTTGCAGTCGTCGAAGTACACCTTCAAATCACTCTTTCAAGTGCGGAGATAAGGTTTCATAATAACTAACAAAACGAGGCCAAACTCGGCACAACTAATTCTACTCTTCAAGGAGTTTGAGTAGCCATTCAACGAATTTCATTTTCAGGTCATTCTATCAAGTCCGGAGGCAGAGACGGATTAAATGTCGAATGCACCATGAGCTAGCCTATCACTTCATCGGCGCCCATCTAGGTTCCATATTATATGTATTATAAATTAAGTCTACTCATTTTGCAAATAAACTTTATTATAATTTATAATATAGTTTAATAATTGCAAAATAATTAGGATACGAGTTTTTTTTTATAGGATAGTACAATTAACAGGAGGGTATAGATGAAAAATGTGATGAAAGAGTAAGAGCGATTTAGGAGTAATCAAATACTATGATGTTTTTCCATTTAAAAACTTTCAACAGGTGTTCAGAGGCCGCCACTTAGCATCGGGTAAGGTTTCTCGGCTCCGTCGCGCAGTGGCAGTGGGTTCAAATGCCCTCAACGAATAAGTATTTGTATAGCCTAAAAATAACTGTACTGGGTCTGAATGTTTGTTCTTGTGAAATTTTGTTTATGTTAACTGCCCCCACGATACAGGAGAAAACCTAGTGTGCAGGTAACGTTTTTATAAAGGTAAAGAAAGGTAGACTGTAAGTTCGTTAGTCTTTTTATAAAAAAATCGTACTTATGATGTTGCTCTCTTACGCCGAGTCTGAGTATTTTAAGCATCTTGATTAAATCTATCATAAGTTCCCTGCTAAATAAGAATAACATCATACAATGCGTGTGAGTGGACTTCATAGGTCTTCGAAATATTTTTTCCTGTAGACATGCAGCAAGGATTAAATCAGCGCTTAAAATTGCAATAAACAGTTTGATTGACGCCGGCAGAGATCGAATCTGAGTTGCTCACATACTGTGAAACTTACTGCAACCGCTTAACTCAAGGGTTATCTTGAGCGTCTCTCAACTATGTAAATTTGTTTTATTACGAATACCTATAAAACTGTAAATTTTAAAGGAATAATACTACACTTTGCCCACTCGTCCTTAGGGGTCTCTTCGACGGCATTTTAAAACGCAGCCACTGCTTCCTCGGCGTCCATAAAACGTTTTTCTCGAAGTTTTTCTTTAATTTTCGGAAATAAATAAAAATCGCGAGGTACGAGGTCGGGACTATAGTGCGGGTAACCCAGTAATTCCGCGTGTGATGTCGCCAAGTAGTCGATAGTTTGCTTGGTGGTGTGCTACGAGCCGTTGTCTTGTTGAAGGAGGATCCTACTGCGAGGTCGTTTCTCCCGAACTTTTTCCATGACAAGTGGCAAACAATTGCTAGTGTTTTTCGATCCTCTAAAACAATTGTTGCGTAATGTCCTGGCCACCATCTTTGTTGTCCATAAGTATGTTGAACACAGATTTTAAGTCACCTCCGTTAAATCTTTGAACCATTTCACGACACCAATCAAACGACGGAGTTTTTGAGCCTCTGTCAAATTATAAGGCCGGGTACAAAGCTTCCTGACCGCTAAATGTTTCTGGAGGATTTTATGCACTTGACGCATACCGATGAATAAGCTTGTCCGAATCTGCTGATAAGTCACTCTTTTGTCAGTCTCTATCACACGCCGCACAACATTGATGTTATCTTCAGTCGTCGCCGTAGAAACAGAAACAGAAACAGAAACAGAAACAGAAACTTTTTTATTCAATATAGATTATAAATAATACTTATTGAAAGTCACTCTTTTGTTTGATTACCACTGGTTCGGAAAAAACCTCTGTCCTGGGAAGAACCAGCAAGAAACCCAGCGGGACTTTTTTTTTAAATAACAGCTTACAATCATGATGTTACACAAATTAACAACACAACAAATTAGAAATAGCTTGGTAGCGATCACCTCATTTCCAGGGGTTATTATCATCCATAAATTCCTTAATATTATAATAACCCTTTTTATACAAACTTAGTTTAATAAAGTTTTTGAACTTTGAACAGGTCAAACTTTGTATATTTTCTGGAATTTTGTTGTAAAAGCGTATACATCGCCCCAAGAATGAATTACTGACTCGATGGAGTCGAGTAACTGGTACTACTAGCTTGTGTCTGTTCCTAGTATTTACAGAATGAATATCACTTATTTTTGTAAAACTACTTTTATTTTTGTGTACGTACATTACATTTTCATAAATGTATTGAGAGGCCAAAGTTAATATATTAATTTCCTTAAATTTTTGTCGCAGCGACTCTTTAGGCTTTAAATCATAAATTGCTCTTATGGCCCTCTTCTGCAAAACAAATATAATTTCAGTGTCAGCTGCGTGTCCCCATAGCAAAATACCATACGACATTATGCTATGGAAGTAGCTGAAGTAAACTAGTCTAGCTGTTTCAACACTGGTTAGACTTCTAATCTTTTTTACAGCATATGCTGCAGAACTAAGTCTGCTTGCTAGTTTTGATATATGGGGGCTCCATTGAAGCTTCGCGTCTAGTGTGATTCCAAGAAAAATGGTGGTATCTACAAGACTCAGTTTCTCCCCATTTCAAATTACATTAGTATTTAATTGTTTGACATTTGGAGTCACGAATTTCATACATTTTGTTTTAGTGCCATTTAAATGCAAATTATTAACATCGAACCAATTTACTAATTTAGATATAGCATTATTTACTTCGTCATATTTTAGTAACTGTCGACTTAATTTGAAAATTAAGGAAGTGTCATCTGCAAATAATACTATATCATGGTTATCCCCTACTATGAAGGTAAGTCATTAATGTAGAAGTAATAGGAATAAAGGTAAGTCATTAATGTAGAAATAGTAGAAGAGAAGAAATGTAGAAGGCCGTCCCTCACGCAAATCATCGGTGAGATTAGTGCGACCACGTTTAAATTTATTAAACCAGTTGTAAACAGTGGCACGAGATGGGGCTTCATCGTTAAAGGCCAACCGAAGTCTATCATAACTTTCTTGTTGACTTAAATGACATAGAAAGTCATTAAAAAATCATGTACGAAAATTTTCTCGCGTTAAATTCATGCTAACGTGACACAGACAATTTTCAATTTGCCGCCAAATCGTAAACAAATGACAAATCAATAAAATACAACATACACAATAATATTGGCAGAGTTCCATTTTCAAAATTTGAACTTATTTTTTTATTATATCGTTTACAAGTTGCCAGTTCTAAAAACTTTCAATGTCGCTCTCGTATATTTGTTTTGTCGAAACAATAGTTTATAGCTATGCAAAGATCGGATAGATGGCGCTGCAATCACGAATTCTATATTTATACCAAAATGTACCATATTATACATAGTATGTTTGGTTTAATAAACAAAAAAGAAAATCACAATATCTGGATCCGATAACCTCGAATTGATGGTATGTTTTGACTTTCATAAGACCCGAGAGCTAAAGAAATCAATAAAAAGTAATTAGCTTTTTCTCTTACGTAAAGTAGTTACGTAATTATTGACCTTATTATAAATAATAAAGTTGTTTTTTTATTATATGCCATCCAAATAAAGAACCTGCGTCTGACAAGGCATTTAACCGTTTTGCTACGGCGAATACGATTCGCAAAAATTTAAACCTTCATTAAATTTATTCAGTTCTCTCTGGTATAACCCAGAGTCGCTTCTTGCGACACCCTCAGTCCACAGGACGAGATAGGGTGATGTAATTTTTTTATATGGTAATGGACTCGTACAGTTGTAGTTTTGCGAGTGGCAAGTAATAAGACATTATTATCTTTTATAATAATTTGTTCAAAATACTTCGTAACAATATGTTGACGCTTCATGCGTCACATTGAGAAGTTTTCAGACAGTCGACGCTAAGACTCAATTTCTTAAGGTTTAAACTACCGTCAGAGTACTTGTTTGACTTGTTTCATCATTTCTACTAATAATTCACATGCGCAGACATTCAATACACTAAATCATACCACTTTACGTACCAACATCTGCTTCAAACCAATAATTAAACAATTATACACGAGTAGCAATCTGCCGGCAGTCAAATTTCCGCCAAAACTTCCATGATGGAATCCTAAACGACGCCATCACGCGGCAATACAACATATTTTTGTAATTTCTAAAATCAAATTAGCTAAATTAAACCTCATAATGTTAGCCGAGCACGAGTATTAGCACTTTTTTACTTTGGTATTGAACTCGTACTGTTATACTTTTGCCAGTGTCAAGTATAATATACATATAACTAAAGTTCTTTTTTTTAATTTGGATCGTCTTTACTAAATTTTTTTCTTATATTTTTTCTTCTTAAAACTGAAGTGTTAGACGAACTTCTTAAGTAACTTTAAGTTTTATACGTGGAAGAGCCATGCTGCAGCTGTATTAATAGTATAGTTGTAGCACGAATG